AGAGAGAGAGAGAGAGAGAGAGAGAGAGAGAGAGAGAGAGAGAGAGAGAGAGAGAGAGAGAGAGAGAGAGAGAGAGAATAGTAGTGTAACGCCCTGATACAATTAAATAAACTTGAATATTAATTTCATCGCTTTAACCAAAAATATATATATATAGATATAGAAGGCCCGATTAGATTCCAAGCAAATCAATACTTGCGTAATGAAATGTAGTTCCCACTCAATAATCCGACTACATTGTCTTTTTGGAAACAAAAAAGTCGTCGACAATTACTACATTTCGTTGCGTGGAAGGTGCTTGACAAATGCTTTTTTCAAATGTGAACCTAAACTTGAGCGCAGTACTTTGTATTTAGTAGCGGAGCGAGAGAAGCAAGCGAGAGGAAATGTCAATAACATTGGAGCAACTTGTGCAGCAGGGACAATTAAGCCTGAAGAACAAACGTTACTGCTGTTCGAGAGAATCTTGTAAACACTCGTTCAATCCTCAGTTGAATGCTTATTCAAAAAGCGTAAATTGTACATAAAGACTTGTGTTTATATTTGCTTAAAATTGAATTGATACGAATTCTTGGTTTAATGCTTGCTCATAAGAGCATTGCTCTTCAAGAAAAAACGGTATGATGCATTAGGGGGTTAAGTCGTCTCAGTCATTTGCGTAGTTGCGTTAACAACCGAAATGATAGTGTAACACTTTATGCGCTGAGACGGGCGCTTAATCCTTATTTGTAGAAAGATTGTAATGGCGGAACGATTGCTGATATCAAAAGTCTGGATAGTAATTGTTGGCAAGAAATCTGTATCTACCATAAGAAATTATCTTAAAAGATGATGGCATCTGTTGATAGCCAATCAGATAGCCAATTGCCGAGGTCCCCGACTTGGGGTAAGTTAAAAAAACCAACAACGATTTCGTAATAAAATGAAAAAACTGCTCATTGAAGTAAGTAAGCGGGTGAAAATATGATTGAAAGTTTTTTTTTAAAAGTTTCTCGCTTGCGTAAGAATGATTAGGCTGATACTGCACGAGGGTGATATAACCTAATTGACAGACTTTCAAATTGTTTGTGTACATAATACAAAAATTATTTGTGATTATGAATAATGAGCAACATATTAAGTAATAAATAAATTCTAACAAAAGAAAGAAAGAAAAATCAAATTAAAAAAAACTGATCAAACAACTAATCAAGGCAAAATGATTATTAAAGTTGTAGTGGATCCTAAATATAAACACAAATTAATTTATGAACTTCTAGATTTTTTCTAATGAAAATTAAATGTAAATTAAAAAAAAAAAAATTCTTATATTAAACTGTTGACATTAAATACTATTATTATTCTTCAACAACGGACGTTAGCTTATGTATTTAGCTTTGCCCGGGGCATCATCAAGATCGTCGTCATTATTATCATTGCTATTATCATCATTAAATAATGCTCAAATTTAGCTCAAAAATTGCGAAAATAAATGCCTCACATGTGTATATGTATGTATATATATGTATATCTTTACATATATATGTATGGGTTTTCACATCTTCCTCAAGGTGCATATGAAAACTTAATAAAATGTATCCATAAAAAGTGCATAAAACTACAAGCATAGCAACCTTGATGAATTTAATGTGCTTTTGTATTCACTTGCATGCATTCAAAACCATCATTAAACGTTTTTCACAATCGCACATACCCACACACACCACAGCCATAGGAACATGCACACCAGCAAAAAAGTGCATCGTCTTAATCATTAACATCATCAGCTCTATGCTTTACATTTCGTATCATTAAAATAAAATTCACTTAATTCATCACCTTTATTTGAATGAGTGAACGAGTAGATGGATGGATATGTGGATGACTAACATCATGCACATGTACTCATGAACATGTCGTGCGTCATTCATACTCAGTTGTTGTCAGTCTTTGCCATAAGCGCTGCAGATGCCAAGCATAAGAGAAGTCACAAACATGAGAAAAATGTTTAATGTTTTAGCAAAGAGTCTGAGGTTGTTGTTTTTGCAATATCTGATGATACAAAGAAGATATTTGTAACGTTGATGGCGATATTTATATCTATCATAAATGACGTTTCTTGTAAGACTTGTTGCTATCAGTGAAATCATTTATACATATAGAAAGGTATTTTTGGTACTCATACTACTTAGACTCTATGCCAATACAAGTTCGTCTAGCATCTATAATGCTTGCTCCCCAACTCATAATGGAGCTTTCTTTAGGTCGGAAGCGATTGCAGAACTGGGACTGGAGAATTAGATGGGTGCGGTAGGAGTTTGCGAGACGAGAAATTATGTCCTCTTTGCTATTCAAATATATATAAGAGCTTTTAATAGATTATTCCTGCAATTTTTTCAAAGAGCCGTTTTAATCCCCTTTGTGGACAACGCTTGCTGGCCACTGATTTAGAAAGTAATCGACTTATTGGTGAATATATATATATACATCAGCCCATCTTGTCGCATTAGCGTTGCCAACGTGCAAACACCAAATTTTATCTTAATCTGTTTTTTTTTTTTAAGTGCAACATTAGAAATTCGACTTGAATGCTGAAAACAAAAAAAATAAATAATTAAAAAAAAAGATGATTTGCAATTTTTCTTTTCATAAACTAATGCTTCTTAAATGCAATCAAGGTATGCAGAAGAGAATAGAATCACGGCCGGTGCCGCAATTGCATTAAAGCACTCAAAGATTCATGTCGCTGCAAGATGAGTTTGTCGCCGGATGAATAGCAATAATTGCCACAATAATGGTTGAAATTAAAATTTTCAAAGTCAAGCGAGTTATTAAAAGATGAAAAGTTTTTGTGCACCTTACTGCGAACATTAGATACGCATCTAACTTATCCAAGGCACGAAAAATTCAACAACTTATATATAATCTTTCGTGCTAATAGCGGAAACACGATACATCGGTAGGATTAGAGCTATACCGATTTCATGTCGGCATACGCTTTGGAAATAAAGCCTGATATCTCCTCAGTGATTAAAAGAACTTGACTTGGGGAAATTGGAGTCCTCGCGCTACTTATTGTTTCAGTTGTTGCAGAAACGTTTATGACAAACCATATTTTTTGAAAGAAAGATCGCAAGAGCATCATAATCCAACGATCGCAGCGTGAGAGTCTACAAAATGATATTATTGTGTGATTTCATTAGTTTTGTAACATTTTCAAAAGCTCGATAATTTCTCGACGACACATAATTTAAAAATTTTTAATTTTATGTAAAACAGTCTCGGTTTTATAACAGTGCTTGCAGGGTAACACCAATGCAGCAGCCTGAGAAAAGGAGTTTTTTTCGACAATTTGTCCTTGTGTGTGTGTGTGTGTTTTTTTTTTTGGAAAGGTAAGAAAGGTAACAAAATAATAAAATTTGTCGAGGTTGTTAGGTTTATATTTATTTTATTTTATTGACGTTTAACTAACGTTGAAGCCATTAAGGCCTATCATAATTGATTACAATGTCTACCGTGGATGCCATAATAAGTGTAGATTCAAGAGAAAAGAAAATTGACGGTAAAGAGAAAGAAACAAAGTAACTAGACTAGTAAGAATCGTCCCAATGCTAAATAACTAACAACTGCAAGAATTAAAAGGTTACGTTCGTGAGTAGGATAGCAACCTGTGAACCTAGCAAAGACTAGGCCGATGAACAAGTAATTCGATGAATTAACAAATGCTAACAAGTCT